GATCGCACATGTCGTGAACTGGCGGGGGAACCAAGAGGAACGAGGCTCGCATACAACACTCTCGGCAGTACGGCTTTCGAGGGCATCAGAAAAGGCTTTCTTCGACATATCTAAAACAAAGAAACGCGAAATGTAATCCTCCGTACACGTGCAGCGAGATCAACCGCGAGCGAGAAAGAGAGAACGGTGCCCGATAACTGCAAGTTTTCGAAGCACGCTGGCAAAGAGATAAGAAGCATTGTCACGGCTTACGTGGAAGGCCTGCCTCTGCAACCAAAAACACCACCAGCGGTACCGACAGGCCAAGAGCGAAGAAATGAGCCGTCCAACTTTTCGGTCCTCTTGACTGCACTACAATTCAGAGAATCGAGAAATAAATCCCGCACTACTGTCCCGGGAAACGATCAAACACCGACGCTCCCGCAAGCCGACAATCACGCCACACCCACGACCATCACCAGTCCCGAAACAGCAACTTGGCAGAAAAGGGCCGTGCTCCAGCATGCAAAACGGGCATATTCTCGGCGGAATATTGTTTGGCCCGAAAGAGCCGAGTCTCTTTCGCCGTTCGTGGTGGATCTAAAAGTGTGGCATCGCACTCTACCACAAAGCACCCGGGTTGTTACACCGCCGGAAACAAAGGGGGCGCTTTTGTTCCATCCATTTCGGAAGAAAACGTCAACAAAAAATCGGTTATTTGGTTCCAACGGAAAAACTACCATTGTGGAAAATTAAAGATGGATTCCTGTCAGATGCACCGCAAGACGCTACGCAGGCACGGTGAATCCCTACAAGGGCTTCTTACATCGCCACCGCAATTATCGGAAGCGTCGTCCGCCCAGCTGCTGTCGAACGACAAAAACACAGACAGGCAGACCGACAGCCAGACGACCTTCAGCAGAGGGCAATTCTGAGCTGGCCGCTCGGACCAACACCCCCCCGTCATCCCTCCACCGAACCCCCCGGTCCGTTACATAGCTCCCTCACCCTGCCCTCGCCCTGCAGCTCTCCCGCGAGACGTCCTCTATGGCCTGGGCTTCTGACCCGTCTCCTGCGTTGTTCAAGGCGTTCCTCTGCAGAACAAAGGCGTTCACCAGGTCGCTCAGCGCGCCCCCGTTGTCGCCCAGCTCTCGACGGCACTGTCCCCTGATCAAGAACGCCTCCCCGCAAGCGGGGTGTTCCGCCAGGGCTGCCTCCGCGTGGGCAACAGCGGCTTCCAAGTCTCCGCCGCGCATCTCGCACTTGGCTAGGCCGGCGCGAAGCTCGGCGAGGTATCTGAGGGAAGAGGTTATGGCGGAGAGAGAGGGAGGAACGGGGGAGAGCGAAGGATGGAGAAAGAGAAAAAGAAAAAGAGAAGAGAGAAAGAGGAGGGAGAGAGGGAAAGAGATAAGAGACAGAGAAAAGCCCGATTAATCTCGGTGTCGACGCACGCGATTGCACCTCCGTTCCGCTGCGAGGCCCCCAAAAACTCTCGTCACCTTACCGCGAGACTGCTTCGCGCACGTCATTTGTGTGCCCGAAAAATTCCAGCAGACACGGTTGAAACTGGTGTCCACATTTGCACCGGCGAGTACAATTTACCGTGCAACACATGTGACCTACACGCCGGAACGGATCTCCCCCGCCCGATCCTCCCAGGAAAAGACATTGAGGATACCAGTATCTCCTACAACAGATGCGGCCCATACTTACCTACTGGGCCTCGGAAGGCGTTGTCCCTCCTCCAAGAACGCCTCCATAAGGCTGTTCGCCTCTTCCAAAGACGCGGCCGCTTCCTTGTCTAGCCCCTTCTCCATGCTCTCGTCCGCGCGCACCCGGACTGCTTGAGACGTCAGTAGGAACTCGAGGCACGCCGCGGGCCTCTCACACAGACTCGTCTCGAGGTCGCCTTCTGCTGCCGTCGGAGACTCGGAACACGCGCCCGTAGCGCTGCTGCTGCTTCCGCCGCCGGCGGGCTCGTTTTCTTTCCCTGCCCCCTCTTTTCCCCCGAGACGCTCCTCCTCTATCGCCCGGACCAGCATGAACAGCTCGTGGTCCACGAAGGGTACCGCCGCAAACTCGTCCAACGCCGCCATGTCCGACCAACGGCTGTTCAGCTCTTGTGACGCGCTGCTGCTGCCGCCGGCGCTGTCGCCAGGCGATGCCGCCCCACTGTATCTCCCCGCAAACGCTTCCGTAAGGGCCTGGTTGAGGGAATGGAAGTGGCCGATCGATCAGCGCAAGCCATGTATCCCAAAATCCCCCATGTAGGAGTATTAAAATATTTAACAGGTAAACCACGGAAAGTCTTCCAATTTTCACAATTTTTTCCTTCCATGCTGCCGCATGGGCGCACGGAAATTGTTACAGCCCGGAAAAACCTCCGTCATGGCGACCAAAAACAGGTTACTGCTAGAGAGGGGACCAATATAAACATGCTACAGGGTGTGACCTAAAACGAAACACAGAGAGAACCCGTTCACTCGACGCACCTGAATGTGCGCCTGTTCGAGCTCATCGGAGAACACATCAAGTTCCTCCCGACAGCCGAGCAAGGCCGACAAGCAGGACGCCACCCTCTCGCGCTGCGCGTTGTCGTGGTCTGTCTCCCCCTTGTCGGTAAGGCTGTCGCCGCCACCGCCGCCGCCGCCACCTTCTGCCCGACCGGCGGTGCTGCACGTGTTATTCTCGCCGTCACAAGAAGAGTCACCGTCCCCCACTGGAGAGGAGGAGCACCGCCCTGCGTGCCTCGGGCGGCTTGGCTGCGGTGGCGTGCCGTCGCAAAGAGGTGCCCCTCCTCTTCCCCCGCGACGACCCGCTTGCTGCGGCCCCGGCGTGTAGACCGCGCCCGCCCCTAGTAGCCTCGAACCGATCGTGACCAAGTCGGCCGTCGAGGTGGGTGCTCGCGCCGGGAGCTCGAGGACGCGGGGGGGCGAGTAGATTTCCCGGAGGGAATCGCCCATCCTGGCCAGGTAGGCCATCGCTTCCGGGTTCTGCTCTTCTTCCGTAAGCCTGAGGCAGCCGCCGCCGCCGCCGCCGCAGCAGCAGCAGCACAGCAAGCACAAAACGGACTTGATACGGGTGCAACTCGCCGCACACGCCCTTCCGGCGTCCAACATTCTGTGCTAGGTACATGCTTACAAAAGTACAGCAGCAGCAGCAGCAGCGCAGTCCCGTTGTTGGGCCGCCGCCGCAGCACTAGCGCAGCAAGCACAAAACGGACTAGCCTGCACTACACCGAACATAAAAATGAAAAAATGCGTTTCTCATCGATAACCCACTCGATGCAGCTCTTGCCATCGCTAAGCTCAGCCCTCACAGCCATAGTACTCTCTGTCAAGCATGCTCTCACTTGTGCAGGGTGACCGCAACCTGGCTCTCGGTGACACCCCGCTCCTTGTATGTGGCATCTGAGACAGCCTCCAAAATAAACCTGAACCTCGGACCGTACAGACGGACAAACTCCTTCTCGCTGCCAAGGGCCTCGCGGAGGTGCCTGTGGTTGCACGGAAGGGAGGTAGCCGGGGGGAGGCGCGGAGATTGAACTGGACAGCCAGCTGCGAATCTGGCTTCTGCGGGGCGTGTGTGGCAGGAAGCCTGGAAAGCAACGCTCCTGCATGGGCACGAGAGAGTGCCCAGCCGTGTGGGTGGGTGCGCCGCCGGCGAGACACGAAAATTGCAGCAATTAGTGACAGCAAGCATAGCCAGACAGAGGAGTACAACGGGGGCATTTTTCCAGACATAACAGCGAGGGTCGCAGCACAAGCAGTCAGGACGAAGAGGCTCCGGCCCAGCCCTTTGTCGCCGAGGCGATCGATCTCACAGACAGACCTGGGCAGTCCAAAGGGAGCCAGCACGAGGAGGCTGTCTCGAAGCACTTCGTCGCACACGTTCAGGAAAGTGTCATGATCCAGAGGCTCTACAACCTCGAAAAACACGCTGCACATCTCGACCACGATCAGCGGCTGACTAATACAGGCGGCAAGCTGCTGCTGCAGCACTGGGCACCAGCACAAACAATCCTGAACACCGCACCATCAACCAAAATCCCGAGATTCCGCCGCATTTTTTTCCATCTCGGGCAGACCGGCCCTGGGCGCTGGGCGCTGGGCGCTTATTGGCGCTCACCTGCTTCATAAAACTTGGTGGCCGCAGCGGAGGAGCTGCGGCCTGTGATCATCGCAGCAAGTAACTCAGGATCTGGTACGTATGTATTGAACATTTCAATTGGAACATTTGAACATTTGAACATTTGAACCGTTCTTCGTGAAACCACGAGATTTCTGCCGTAGTTGCCACGCCGACCCCAACGAAAAGCCGTTTTGGATGCCAACCAGCCCTTTACAGAGGACAATAAGCTTCAAGCAGTACTAGTTGTTACGACTACACTACTGCTGTACCTCGGCCGCCAATCATCACTGCTTTGTATGCGCGCGACTTTAATATCCATACTCTCTACCAAGAGAGAAGTGTGTCGACGTTTACGTTTTCATCGAGACTTCCCGTCTACATGCGTGAAACATGTCTTCTCCCTGGGTAGAGTTCATTGCACACATTTGATTTATTTGCTCCATGGAGAGTAATCGCCCTACCCGTACCAATTTTTCAAGGGTGTGTTCTGGTCTGCAAGTTTCTGTAGGGTATTTAAATTTATCACAGAACTCACAGAACTATCCGGTAGGTATCTATCGGACGTGCCACAGAACTCAAAACAGAAAAAATCGGGTTTGTGCGAGGGTCGTACAGAACCCACAGATCGTAGCGGGTACGTCCGTAAATGTTACAAACGTTTTCTGTAAGGTATCGGAAGTGTCACAGATCTCACAGAACTATCCAGTAGGCTATTTGAAATTGTCACAGGACGCACAGAACTACCCGGTAGATATTGGAAGTGCCACAGAACTCAACAGCAAAAATTGGGTTTGTGCGAAGGTCGTACAGAACCCACAGATCGTAGCGGGTACGTTCGTCGATGTTATAGACGTTTTCTGTAGGGTTTTGGAAGTGCCACAGATCTCACACAACTATCCGGTAGGTATCGGAAGTGCCACAGAACTCGTCTGTAACGTTTTCTAAGGGTATCGCAAGTGCCACAGAACAGGATACATGTATAGAGGGTATGCGAGCATGTCCTTCACACGCAAGATACCCCAAGTTGAATACCTCCCCCCGTTCTCTCTACATCCGGTTGTTTGCCACTGTGTCACGTGACTGCAGAGCGGCAGAAAACAAAAAAGCTCACATATAATACCGGGTACGTTGGCAACGCTGCTACTTCATATGGTTAAAAATACGCTATTGGCAACATACTTACTGCTTGTCACTGCCAATGATTATTATTCCATCCAACTTCTTTCCTGTCGTGCTCACAGGTTGGCCACATGAGGTGCTGCAAGGACACGTGCTCACGAGAACCAATAACGAAACACCAACACATCGTACGCTCACGCACTTGTTTGACGAGTGCCACCCAACCACTGCCGACAAACACAAACTAGGAGCGAAAGTCTCCTCACTCGAGTAAGCTGCAACACGCAACAACAGCCAACGGTGTCGACAATATGAGCTATGGCTGGAAACGAACATAGTTTGCCTCTGCCGACGGACGAGTCCTGATTGCACTTGCCTGATTGGCCACAACTTGCTACAGAAAGAAACCCGAATCATTCAGCCCTACAAGTCGATGTCATTCACGGAGGGGGGCGCCGTGTTCATCAACACGTCGAAGATGGCTTCAGCGGCCATCAGGTCAGCATCCCGCCCGTGGAACCGCGCCGGCAGACACGAGCGAATATTCTTTGCTGCGACCATGGGGATTTGCTTCAGCGGGGGAATGTGGGCGAAGTTAGCATTGAGGAACATGACGATCTCCACCCAATAGGTGTCCATGCGGCTCCTGTTTGGTGCGAGAAGAATGCCAACGCCGCTGAAGTCGCGCTCGACCTGCGACACCGCCGCCTGGTTCCCGAACACCTGCTGTGCGACTGGTGCAAGGTGCGGGAAAATGTTCTTGCCTGTGCGCTTCCACCATGGGAGCACCTCCCGGCAGTCCAACTGCACCATTCAACGACAAAGGCACGTTCAAGGTTTTGTATTAGTGCATTGCGAAGAACAAGCGCCCACAAACACGATTCTCGTTAAATTAGCTGATGCTTGTAAAACGTTTTTGAACAATCAATTTGTCAACCCGAGCACCCAACTCCCCCCCAAAAAACGATAATGAAACCCTTCAACAAAAATATTTACCAAGTTTTGGAAGCCAAAAAATAGCAAGGATTGCTACATTTTCATTCGACATACCTCGTCTGCCTTGATGAAGAGCGATTTGTAGTGCTCGAGCTCTCCTGCTACGACCTCACCCAGCTTCCTGTCTTCACTATCCTCGTCCGCCATGTCATCAGTGCTGCTGCGGGCATCTCCCCGCCCGAAGAGAGAAAACCTGCTCTTTCTGGTGGCGCTTGAAGTAGAGCTCTCGCCGCGGAATCGTTTGTGAAGTGGCTGAACGCCGTCGTCAAGCGATTCAGACCGGCGGTTCCTCTCTCGCGCAGCTTCCCAAGCCCTCCTCTTGATGTCCGCCCAGCAACCGTCGAGCTTCGCCGTCACCTCGCTGTCCATAGTGGGAGCCAAGCCCTTTTTACCGATGGAAAGGTACTCCGCGTCTGCAGCACTCAGTCGGAGGGCTTCCAGGTACTTGCCGGTGTTGAATGGTGGCGTCAGAAGCACGGCGGCGTCGCGGAACGGGGAGGGGTCGGCAGAGTCGTCGTCCCAGACTCGCCCGAAAAGCCTCTCCACCAGGGCTTTGCTGAGTTCTTTCCGGGTCTTGACGGTAACCGGACGCAGCTCGCTCGCGAGGATCATCCTCGAGGGCAACTTTGGTTTGCCCCCCTTCCGCCCCGTGCCCACCTCGTGCTCGTTCTCCGCTTCCGGGGAGTTCGGTGCGGGGGGGATGTCGAACACCCTAAGCGGCTGCTCGGGATCGAGCACCTACATCTTCAGTTGCGCGAACGCCAAGTGCATCTCCGCGGTCATCGGCGCGTTGCCGTACTGGCCGTCACGCGTTATCGCGGAAAGGGGCTGGAGAAGCGAGTAGAGCTGGAGGATGTCGTCCCTGTTGTTGCCCTTGTCGAGGGGGAACTCCTCGCCGTCGTTGGCGTAGACCTTCCTCAAGACGTGCCACAGACGGATGATGCGCTCCATCACGAGGACGAGACTCAGCCACCGCTGGGGCGCGTGCTTCGTGATCTTCAAGATCTCGTCAAGCATCTCGAGCGTCACCTTTTCGAACTTCTGCTTGACGATGGTGGACTGGTTGATCTTCGCCGCGGTCTTGATCACGAGCTTGATGACGTCACGCGCAATCTTGTTCTTGGACTGTTGGGGATCCGCCGAGGTGCCGAAGGTATTCTCGGCAGACTTGTCGGCCAGGTGGCAGTCACACCAATCCCACCAGATCTTGTGCAACCCCAAGAGGATGTTGACGCACATGGCCTTGACGTCGGAGCCGCTGTCAGTTGTTCCACCAGCAAGGTCGGATAGTTTGATGCCGTACTCCGCCAGCGTCGCTCGGAATATGGTGAAGAGGATTTCGCTGGCCTTCTCCGTACCCTGAATCTCCGTCGAAGGGGCGTAGTGCTTGACCTGTGACATGATCAATCAATCAAGTGAGGGCGGACGAACAGGGAGAGGTTCGTGTGGGTTCAACAAAAGTAATAGTGACAACGGTGAACGTTTTGCACAGACACAAAAGCTGCGTCAATTGGCACGCTGCAATCATCCAGAAAGTGCTCTTGCAAGACCAACACAGGGTCATCGATGCAGTGCGCCGGAGAAGTATGGGAAGGAAATAAGAAGGTAGTGAAAGAACTTGAGGAGGCGTAGATGAAAGCAGCGACAATCATCCTTGGATGCTCCAAGCGCACAAGTGATGCAGCCGTCAGGGCAGAATTGGGGGTCCAATCCCTACGGTCGGGAAGAGACGCGAGGAAGCTGGCATAACAGTATCGCATGTGCGGGATGGGAGAGGAGAGGTTGCCGAGAATTGTATGGGAGGCGAAGTGGGCAAACAAAAAGAGGGGTAGACAACCCATGGAATGGGTGAACGTTGTAGAGGACGTATGGAACGGGCTCGACGTCGACGAAGATTAAACGCTGCNACGACGAGTTCAAATGTGATTGCGGCTTCGAATGCGAAGACCGTGTTCATGTAGTCGCGGAATGTCCGTTGTACAAGAAGGAGGTGGAAGTGTACGTGACTGAGCTGGGGAAAATAGATGGAACGTACAGGGAGATGTTTCAGGCATGGAATAGAGACGAAAGGACGGTAGCTGTAGTGGGGCATAGGAGGTGGGTTGAAAAGGCGGGAAGGGATATCGTTAGGATAGACAGACTAGGGAAGACATTTTTGAGCCACCTTTGGCAAGGTAGAAAGGAACGATTGGCCATCGGTGATCGGTCCTGTGGGAACAATGCTCCGTCCTCTCGAGGACGCGTGGTCAATGGTCTAACCTCTTAGGCATGCAAAACATAAGAGTACGCCCCGCCCCCCCGCGAAACTGCTGTTGCACACAGCAGTGTGGGCCCCCAAGTAAGAAACGTCAAGGTTGAAGCTCGATTTCGTAGTTTGTCACCGCCATCGAGTACAGCCTACCCTCGAGGAAAGGGTTCTCGGCTGAAAAAGTGTGTCTCGACCCGAACTTTTTCCATATTTTCGTGAAACCACACAAGAACAATTATCTCAACGCACAAAACACTGCATGACCTACGTCCGACAAGGTTCAAAGAAGGAGGGTTTCGGGGGACATAAAACGTGACTTACAGAAATCAGAGCGTGTCGCAAGCTGAAGTTGCTGTCCACGTAAAAGACGTGCACGCCAAGATATTTGCGCCCAGAGACTTTGCATGTCCACAGGTCGAGCCCGTAGTGGATGATAGGTAGAGGTGCCTTGTTGATCTCTTCCTGCATGTTCCCGACCACTGCCTGTGGATCAGCAACGGAAAAATTAATTTTGTAGGATGTCTAGAAGTCTTGCCTTTTCGCGCCCACGAATCATGATGTCCTCCACAAAACCAGCAACTAAGAAACCTACTCGTGATTGTATGCAAAATAAATATGAGTAGAGCACATCACCAACACTCTTCAAACATATACATAGAAAAAGACTACCGTCACAATTTGCGCCATACATCAACCGGAAGCGTGCGTGCAAGCCTGAGGTATGCTACAGTCTGTGCAATTTGAAAAATTAATCGTACATCTACCAAGGTAGTCCGATTATGCCTGCGCACACCACCGACCTTTTCGTGGCGACGTACATCTCCACAAGGAGGTGCTTGACGCGCCGAGAAGAGAGCGCAGGAAAAGGTGTGGCTTGGGCAGTGAGCATCCCCGCGAGATCCCGCCAAGTTGTGCCAGATGAGAAAAAGCTGAAGGGCAAAAACTTCTCCACCACCATCTTCACAGCCAGGAGCTCTCGAACTCTGCAAAACGAAGCAGAGCAGCACGGAAATATATTGCGAACGGGATGGCGGGACAACAAGCGTGAGATACCAACACTTCATACTTCTATACATGTAGCATGCAGGTAGGATTTCCTCACGGAGTACTTACAGCAGTAGTCACACACAACATACACGTACACACACAAGCAGACAAAACACGAGACACCCGACGACACATACCGTCGCTCCGGTGGTCTAGTGGGTAGCCTCGCAGCCTGCTAAGGGCCAGGTCATGGAGTTCGAGTCCCGACAGAGTGAGTTTTTTCTCGCAAACAATTACATCCTGGTCTCCGTTGGAAGCGATGCGCTGCAAAGCTCGTTGTTAGCAAAATATTTCAGGCAGGAACCGCAGGAGGGGGTCCAACCCCCCCCTCCTGTGTGACCCCGGGTGGGTCGTCTAGNCCCTCCTATGTGACCCCGGTTGGGTCGTCTAGCTAGTAGAAGTGGAGGATAGGGACCAGAGGGGCAGACGACAGAGTCCAATGATGGGAGAAAAACACACCTACCTGTCCGTGCCAACACCCGAGTTCTCTTTCGCTGCTAGGTTGGCCGCAATGTTCTCTTTCGCTGCCTTTTTCTTTCCCTCCTTCACGACGCCACCCACCCCCTGCAGTCCGTGCGCATTTTTGAGGTGCGAGTTGACGTTGCTGCGGTCGCCGCCTTTGCAGGGGATCATCTTGTTCTTGCGGCGGCACGTGCCGTCGACCAAACAGTAGAACTGGTGTTTGTCGCCTTTCAAAGCCTCGATGTACACTCCTAGCGAGTACATATACGACTTCTCGCGGGAACCTTTCCTCACATAGCCCTCGGGCACCTTGAAGTCATCAACTGCCTTCACCACTGCAGTATTGACGGCATGCGGCTCTCCGTCCTTGTTGTAGACCGCTGCCGCTGTGATTACAGGGACGTCTGCACCACTGCCTCCCGCGCCAACTATCTCTACTGCTCCCGCCGCGCGTTCTGGTGATTGTGGTGGTGGTGGTGGTGCTGCTGCTGCTGCTGCTTCTGCCCGCGTTCTGACTACTCCCACAGCGACCGACGATGATTCGCTCAGAGGGTCCGCGCTGGTCGAGACAGAGCTCATTTCCAACAGAGATACAGATCGGATATGGTGCGTGTGTGTGTACGAGTACCGCGTGATTTGTACTCCGCAAATTGAAAAGGTGCGCTTCAAGTTTGGTGGGCCTGACCCAGATTATTTTTTTCCGCGTACAGAAGTACAAGTGTCTGGTAGGGTATGGCAGTATCACAGATCTCACAGAACTATCCGGTAGGGTGTTGGAAGCGTTACAGATCTCACAGAAGTGTCCAGTAGGGTATTGGAAGTGTCACAGATCTCACAGAACTATCCGGTAGGGTATTTGAAATTGTCACAGAACTCACAGAACTACCCGGTAGGATATTTGAAATTGTCACAGAACGCACAGAACTATCCGGTAGGGATCGGAGGTGTCACAGAACTCAACAGAAAAAAACGGGTTTGTGCGAGGGGCGTACAGAACCCACAGATTGCAGGGGGTAGGTTCACAAATGTCTACAGACTTTTTCTGTAGGGTATAGAGCGTCACAGAACAATTTTTTATTTATCCAGCCACAGAGTAAACCTCTTGTGGATGGATCTTAGACGCGATGAGCCGATGATACTCTGCAAAGATATTACACAGCAAGTGCTTTAGGCGTTCGTGTGATTTCATCGGGGTGTGATCAGTTGTCGTTGACTCCTTTGTTCCTTGACCCTGTTCATTGCACCCCACTGCGGTGCTCTGTCCGATGGGTGAAGGGCCAAACCACACTGTCAGATCGATACCGGGACGGAGAAAAAAACGTTTAGTTGTGGTTAAACGATGCCGCTCTGAGGTTCTCGTTCCTGCTCCATTGATTTTCTCCGCAGTCGGCTACGTACGTGTGCTGCCGATGCCGCGTCAAACCGCGCGTGCACGCGCAAGAGACACCGGCAGTATTCTTGCTTACATGATCTTCAAATAATGTAACATACCCCACACACGTACATACGCAGGCTCGATACCTACCTATCAAATGAATCGCTTTACTAAAAAATGAAGACAAAAGAGCGAGATGCCTGGAAGAAGAGCGAACAGATTGTTTTGCTGTTCTCGACATTTCGCTTCTTGTATTCGAGTGAACGGCTCTCTTTCGAGTTGTTGCCAACGCGTGCGCCATCAATCAATATTGGCACAAGTATTAAAAGAAACAATTGTTGTACTAGAGTAACCGTTGGACGTCGTCAACAGAAAAGAACCGTCACTCCTTGAAAACTTACTATTGCACGACATTAGGGAAGATCAACCAATGAAATTGGCACCGCTACTTCTAAACCCGGCGTTCGCGCGGGTTCATCATCACGTGCATGTACACGAAGAAGGGTTAGTAACCCCTCCCGAAAAACGTCGAAACCAGAATGAAGAGAACGCAGAGGGAAGTGTCATCCTGATACCGCGGCATAATAAAGAGCCCCATTATAAAAGTCTACGGATTGGGCAACTACAGTACATGGATTTGCAACAACGGTGAAAAGTGTGTGTCTGACCAACATCGATGCCTGCCTGCCTTCGGAAACACACACCAAAACACCATGATCAGTGGTGGGATTTCAACTTGGGGTGACCGAGCTTTCCCCTTTGGCTCATATCGATGCGAGCGGGGGGGTGTAGGCCACAACCTTGCTCAGATGACTACATGCACGGCCATCTACTTCGCCACAAAAAACGCGCACGAAGCACCCGTCCGCATGACAAGCAACGGGGGCACCCACCACAACCCCCGTGCTTCCCGCACAGCAAGCCACGGAATATGTCTCCTCATCCCCGCGGCTACAACAGCTGTACCTCCGACCTTCTCCACCCAAGACATGACCACCGTGATGGGAAGGAAGGAACCACGTCGACCCATTGCGACAACCTCCGTGCACATAGTAGTACCTTCGTGACAACGCGCATGACAACGCACTCGGTGGCAGTCTATCAAGAGTATCTTACAGAGGCACCCCCCCCCCCCCCCCCCCC